TGCTGAGGAAGTTTGCTGAGGAATTTCTTGCTGTGGCCCAGTCATGTGGAACATTCTACCACTGGAGCTGAGAACTGCTCTCACCCTTTTGGCCTTCCAGAAGGGTATTAAAACTTGAGGTCCTGAGGGGATGCTCATCACTAGAAGCTGTTGATGGGGTAAGAAGACCTTGTCCCCATGCTGACTCTCTCTTAGTCCTGGTTTTTGTATAGTTTCACATTTTTAGTTTACATAGTTTTAATATTTTAATTATTTTTATGGTCTTTTTATAATCTACAAACTGCCCAGAAGTTGCCTTATCGGAGAGATGGGTGGCATAAAAATTTACTTTCATAAAAATTTAATAAATAAAAAAAAATAACAATTATGTTGGAAGCGTATAATGAAGGAGAGGTCATTTACACAGCCATGTTTGTGTGATTTGACATTCATGAATTTATTAATAAACTTTAAAAAATAGTAATATGGATTAAAGATGTGAGTGTACTTTGGAATTGTAGCTGCCCAAGCTGGAATGTATCACAGTACAAAGGACTTATAAAGCACGTAGTGGAAGCCAGTATTCTTTTTCAATTAATAGATAATAAGCTATGAGCCACCAGTATAAATTACATAGGCTTAGTTAAAGCAACAGTTAAAACCAAAGGGACCATACTATGGTACAGGTTACACAAACAGGAAGGAAGGAAGAAAGGAAGGAAGGAATATTCCTAGACTCTTGTACATACTTTACAATATAGATGCAGGTTTGTAAGAGATGGTTTGTATCATAACATCATGGTTTTTGTTGTGATTTTCATGCCTTTTTCCTCCCCACCGGCAGATGCCTGTACTAGAAACAGACTGAAGATTTAAAATCAGTAACCACAGTCTGATACCCAGAATAATACTTAATGCCTAAGGACCTGTACTGTGAAATATTATATTGGGTTGAAGATAATTAGTATAATGCAAAAAGCTACTGGTTGATATACTGTACAGTATATACATGCATCTATTTTCCTTAGTTATCTGCACTGATGAAGAAAAAAGAATTGTGTGTGTGTGTTGGGGATATGCAGATGCCTAAAGCATTCTGCGTTTAAGAAGAAATTTATTCATCTAACAACTCCCACAATTCTTATCACCCTTACCTCGTGCTGCTGTTAAACATTTTAGGTTGCCTTGAATTGTGGATTTGAAAAAAGATACCTTCCCAGAATGAAGCTATTGAAGTAGTGGAAAAAAAAGAGGTTATCCTCGGGAAGTTCTCTGATGTAGATTTGCTGCCCTCTAGTGAAGCACAGTAAAGAGAGAGAAAAGAAAATTTTGTTTAAAAGCTTTTCAGCCTTGTGGCTAGGACGAGTTGTGGTTTGCTTTCCTCAAGTGTTACACACTTGATTCTGCTCATCTTCCATCAGCCCACTAAAATAATTGTTTCATTTGGATTCAGAGAAGTGTCATGTTAAAAACCTAGACCTGGAGTATTGCCAACAGGCGTGGTTTCAAACGGAAGAATAACAGAGCAAACCACTGGAGAAGAATGTTTAGTTGGCAAATTATCAACTCCCCAAAATTGCTGGAGTTCATCACACAGAGTGAAGGGAAAGGAAACACATTTCCCTTTTCCCTGTCCAACTTTTCTCAGTGTTGTGTTTTCTGTAGCTTTAGGTTATCCTCTCATTTATTCCATTAAAATGGAAAATAGATGTAGTCCCAGAGAGGATGGGTAGGGAGGTTAGTTCTTGATTAGGCCCTTATCAACACAAAGGGTTACATGGAAATTCTATCACACCCAAAAGGAAAGAATTTCTAATTCTAACTCTTGTTGAGTGAATGAGAGAAAAAAGATGTAAGAAAGGTAAATCCTGATTATTATTTTTTAAAACCTCACATTTGATATAGAGCAGTTGCTGGGATTCTTCTGAATGGATGTCTTAATTTTCCTACAGTGAATTACTTAGAGAGAGTATTTAAATTTGTTTATGGCTGCTTAATGAGTTTCAGCTCATCCTGCTAGGAAATCTACAACGTCCACTTTCTTACGGGGCGCCTCATAGCACCCTAAAATGAATCCTTACTCCCTCGCGCACACAAAACAGAATTGCCAGTTAAACTTTGGGTAGAGATATGTCAGATCAAACTTGAGGATGAGTCACAGATGCGGACGTCATAAAAAAATACTGTATGTAAAACAAAGTATAATGTACATACAATTGATTACAAAGGTCTATAATTGCGCTTAGGCTACTTTGCTAGCAACAGTGCACCGGGTGCAAATACAAAGTTTTCTTGTAACAGCATCTTTATTTGCCCAAAGAATCTATACTTAGAATTCTGACTATCCTGAAAATGGGCTAAGAGATTGTTTTATTCAGTAATTTACTGTAAGCATGGCCAGTAAAGCAGGACACGATCCTATGATTACAACAATAAAACAGCATAGGAGCACACAGGAGATGAGAGATGCATTTTTCCCTTCACTAAATACTGGAAGAGTAGAGGTCAAATGCAACTCCCATGGAAGAGCTCTCCATAGCTTGGGAACCTTACTGGAGAAGAGACCCTCTCCTGCATACTAGACAGTTGATTTTTCTGGCAATTCTGCTCCAGAATTCGTGAGTCCACACATCTTAAAGTTGTCCAGGTTGAGAAACACTAGTCTATGGGATCACAGGGCTGTCCTTCAGGCAATTCTTAGGTCCTTCAGTATTGTAGCATGCTCTACATGGGGCTGCCCCTGAAAAGTGTCCAGAAGCTCCAATTGGTTCAAAATGCAGCGGCCTGCGTGGTTTTGTGCAGATGTAGATGTGCACAGGTGTCATCTCTCCTGCAGGAGCTGCACTGGCTGCTGATCTGATTCCGGGTACAATTCAAGGTACTGGTTATCACCTTCAAAGCCCTATATGGCTTGAGACCAGGTTATCTGAAGGACCATGGTCAAATCTACCTGACCCACCAGAGTGGGAAGGCAGGGAATGTTGTGGGTCCCCTCTCCTAAGGAGGTACATCTGGCAGGACCCAGAAGAAGGGCCTTCTCCGTGGTGGCTCCTTCCCTTTGGAACATTATCCCTGGGTAAATTAGATTGCTCTCCACTTTGTCACTCTTTCACAAGGCCCTGAAGATTCTGCTCTATGGAGTAGAAAGTTGGTCTCTGACAGAAGGCCACCTGAAGAGACTAGAAGCATTTGAAATGTGGATTTACAGGTAGCTGTTACGTATAAGCTGGGTTGACAAGATCAGAAATGAGGAGGTGATAAGCCGCCTGGGAAAACCAAGGGAAATCATCAAAACAATTAAAAAACAAAAATTAGAATATTTTGGTGATGCAACACCTAAAAAATTAGAATATTTTGGTGATGCAACACCTAAAAAATTACGGCATACTCCATTTAATCCTCCAGGGAAAGATTGAAGGCAAACGAGGTCCAGGCAGAAGAAGAACATCATGGCTTCAAAATCTAAGGGACTGGTTTGGACAAAACTCAGCAGCACTTTTTCGTGCGGCTGCTCATAAAAACAGGATCGCCAACGTGATCGCCAACGTCCGATAACAGATATGGCACAAGAAGAAGAAGAATGGGCCTGGGGAACCCAGAGTGGGTTGGAGCTTGTTTGGTTGATTGTTGTAGCCGGGGTATTGTTTTTTATTGTTTCTAAATAGGTTTTTTATTTTTGTAAAACACAGAGTGAGTGGGAGGCCCTACACATTTTCTTAAATAAAATAAATAATGCTTCACCAAAGAGGTATGTCATTTATGTCTAGGAGATAAATATCAAAATCTATCTTTACTCACAAGGCACATCTTTTATTTTCTGTCCATGTGGATTTCCCCCCCCCTACTGATTCCTTATAACAAGACCCTTATTTAATGTCTCAGCAGGTTGCAGCCCCTGGCTGACCTTGGCTAGGCTTAGAAACTAAGCAAGACTGAGCCCTTGATCTCAAGGAAATGCCAGGGCTTTAGGTTAGATCAGGGGTCTCCAACCCCCAGTCCGTGGACTGGTATCAGGCTGCGGCATGCCAGCAACCGGTCTGCACAAACAAGCAAAGCCCCATCCATGGGATGCAGGCAGCACACAAAACAATGCACTCTCTGGTCCCCGGAAAAACCTCTCTCCAGGGAACCGGTCCCTGGTGCCCAAAAGGTTGGGATCTCTGGGTTAGATTACAAAGGGAAAAGGGGGGAAAACCCCCAGAAGTTACATCTGTAGTGTTGCCACAAAAAAGTATATGTTATTGGGCAGGTATTAGGCATACCGCAGCTTTGAGAGCATATTATTAATATTTTACAAATATATGCCATATTGGGCACAGTTATAGAACACCCATTTATTAGCAAACAGATTAAGGCTGCCCTCGGTTAATGACTGCCTAATTCAGTGACCACTCAAACTTACAGCAGTGCTGAAAATGGATTTGTGATCAACCCTCAAACTGACAGCCATCATGGTTGTGATTTGGGTGCCTGGCAACTGGCATGCATTTATGACAGTCCAAACATCCTGCAGTCATACAATCACCATTTGTGACTACAGTCGCAGTCATGTGACATTCCACTGGTCACTTAAAGTTTCACTTAGTGACTGCATCTTTTAGTAACAAAGTTGCTGGTTCCAACTCTGACCACCTGTTATGGGGCTGCTTCTCAGCCTTTAAGATTTTTTTTTGTCCCACAATCACTTTATTCTGGGTATACTTTAACACGCCCAAGGAAAGGTCTACAGCCACAATGGCACCACAGTATCATGTTGGAAAGCCAATTTAAGAATATTTAAATGCTCTGCCATAATCAGAAATCAGATATTTTTAGGAAAAAAAATTCAAAGCCATAGTCTTTGTGAAAAACTGCTCACACTACAGTGTTGCTTTTCTTTTCCTTTTATTATTATTGTTTTTTTGCCTTCCATGTTTTATTTTAATTAAGGAGAAACATAACTGCTCTTCAATCAGAGAAATCAAGAGTTAGAACTTACAGTTACAATGAAGGCAACTCGCTTGAATGAGAGAATGTGCATTTCAATACTTCTTCACCCAAATATTAATTCTCCTTATTCTCAGCCATTCCTTTTGTGGCTCTGTGACTTGAATTCGAAGACACTCTATCTCCTTGTTTCTTTGCTTATCTTCAAATTCAAAACGTCCATTCTTAAATTTTCCTATTTGTCTGAAAATCAGGCATGTTGGCCCCTCATCTAAATAAACTTTGAGTCTTCCCTCTTCGACGAGACCACCATAGAGGATGTCCTTACTATATTCAGCTGACCCTGTGTAAATCAGAACCTTCTGGGCAACAATTGGATTCCCAAAAACAATGATGAAAAAGCTATTTGCTGTCACATCCTTGCCCCAAAAGACCTCATTTCGAGGAGGGCAGACATTTTCCGGTGTGTAATTTAAAACAATGGGAATGTTTGTGAAACACGAAGCACTAACGATATCTCCCCAGTCTCCAAAATCTTCGTCAAACTCCGAATCTTTGATTTCAGTTTCAATATTGTGAAACGAAGAAACCCTCCCTACGTGTTGGAAAAGGGAAGGCCGGAAGGATATGAGAATTTCTTGCGCCCTTGATTTATGAAACAGTTCAAGGAGGTAGTCTCCAGGCATGTTGCGATAGAACATCAAGAGGAATCGGGCTAACCTAGTAAGATCAGTGTTATGATAGAGCTTCCCTATGAAGCCCAGTGTGGAAAATGATATTGTGGTCCAGTGTAACTTGGTATCATGTAAGTAACGTTGTATGATGGATACAAAATTGGTGGCACAAACAATATCATCTTCTAACATCAAATAATAGTGGGACAGATTGGCACAGAAATTAAGTAAATAAGCATAGTCCACGTTTTGTTTGGCTGCATAGCCGATGTCGTTCGTCTTGTCCCACTGTCCTTCTTTCAAATTCCCTAATGGAGGATAACTTGTTGTAGAGCTTTGGATAACAAGTAATCTTTTTTCAGCGACATGTTCACTAAACTTTGCTTTAATTTCTTTGGCAGTTTGGACATTTATCTGAGAATCATTATTGGCAAGGTATATCACTAGGAAGATCTTCTCCAGTTCTTCTGCAGAGCAGTGACTGAAAATGGACTCAACTGTCCCCAATAAATGCTGTTCCTTCTTTTTATAGATTGATGAGATTCCAATGCTCAAGAACCCTGGAATAAAAGAGATAAAACAAGCATCTATAGCAAAGATAGAGCATCTTCTTTGTGACAAGTATTTCTTATCACAGTAGAATCTTTGGGAACCTCTGTTAGGTAGATTATTCTTTAGTACAAGAATAGATTCCCATCTCAAATTGTGGATGAGATACAAGAATAGACTTCATTTTTTATTTTATTTTTATTTTATTTTATTTTATTATTTTATTTATTGATTTATTGATTAAATTTACTTTGATACCCATCTCGCCACTGGTGCCTTTGGGTGACTTACAACATTAAAAGCAATAAAACCATGAAAAATAGATATTTCTAGTAACAATAAAACAATTACAATTAAAGATAGGGAGGGATAGGATGTGTGGGGGTGGGGGAAGATGGGATCTTCTATTAATCCATCAACCATCTCCAACATGATAGTCCCCCTTTGTGGCCTCAAGCCAACTGGCTGAGCTGGGTTTTCAGGCTTTTGCAGAAGGGCAGGGGGGTGGGAGCAGATCTCATCTCGGGGTGAGGGGGGGGAACAAGATCTTTCAAAGAGTGGGAGCCATGGCAGATGCTTCCTGGACCCCGCCAACTGGAATTACATATCATATCTGAGCTGCAAAAGTCCAAATTATCATTAGGTAAGAAAATGTAGCCCTTTGTTGATATCTAGTGATAGCTTCAAGGTTTTTTTCTCCTCAATGTACATATCTTGTATGTACTCATATACAACAGATGGATTTAGAAAAGCATGAATATAAGGACTGTTAACATCTCACAGCTTTCCTGACTAATCTTTTCTATGACCTCGCAGAGCCATCAAAATCTGGGGAAACGTGAAAATGCCCTGTATCACAAAAGCGTTCTTCCTTCTTCAATGTTGACGCAGTGGTGCAGTACTGCAGGCTAATTCTGCTGACTGCCAGGGGTTCAATTCTTACTGGCTCAAGGTTGACTCAGCCTTCCATTCTTCTGAGGTTGATAAAATGAAGGTCCAGATTTTTTGGGGGGAGGGGCAATATGCTGACTTTGCAAACTGCTTAGAGAGGGCTGCAAAGCACTGTGAACTGGTATATAAGTCTAAGTGCTATTGCTATTCTAGGGTTATACTTGATATATCAAGCACTGTTTCTCAACATTAACACTTTTAAGATGTGTAAACTCCAACTCCCAGAATTCCCAGCCAGGGGTCGAAACCCATGCATCTTAAATTTGCCAAGGCTGAGAAATACCGTTCTAAAGTTTCAGAGAGGCACTTGGCAGTTTCTTTGACCACAGGCAGTCTTTTGGTCACTGTTTGCCATAAGCTTTCATGGATTTAAGAACTCATAGAATGCATGTTTCCACATATAGACAGCAACATGGCTGATCATAAAGCAAGCAGAGGAAGAGGGATTTCTGTGGCAAGTCTTAAATATGAGTTGATTTAGCCAGTATGTTGCTTAGATCAAACTATACAATATAGCCCACCAACTGTTCAGAGTTATGTGGAGTACTTAGAAGTAGATTTGTAGGAGTCTCAGGACAGCGAGATGGGATATAAATTTAATAAAATAAATGAATAATAAGTTTGGGCAAAGCACCATTCCAGAAATGCATTCATGAAAAGAATGATGAGTTTAATAACAGTGTTATAGAGAAACGGCTTATACTTACTCATTTCAGAGGAAGGCGATCCAACAAGGTATTGATATGTAATGGGTAAAGGACCCCAAGCGCTTTCAGGTATGCTGATGTTTAGATTCTTTGGTTTCTTCCAAAAAGAATACTCTGGAATTATTATCTTCTTTCTTTCTGTATCCTTAAATGTAAAAAAGCATATTTGTTTTCCGGCAACCCCTATCTGCATTTGTAGAAAACTGAGCGTTATCATCACCTTTAAGTTAATATGTCAGTCTCTGTATCCTGGAATAGTAGGAGTCAGGGGTTCTCTACCTGTGGTCCCAGACCCCTGGGAGGGCCTGCAACATCATCTCAAGGAGTCCGTGAAGGCTTGAAGAAATTTCATGATTTAAATCTTAAGTCTTGGGGGTCCGTGGCTCTGGTCCGTAGCCACAAAATATATTTAAAGGGGGTCCATGGTGAAGAAAAAGTTGAGAACCCCTGTTAGAGGTCATTATTTGATTTTTTTTTTTCAGAGGTTGACAAGACTTCCTATCAAACTTTAGTAAGCCAGAACAGTAAAGTAAACAGGGCCTGTTTTGCTTTCTCCTTTACTGATTTATAACTGCAGTTATTGTTTTCCTACTTCATTTCTTACTACTAATTCCATTATTATGCTCTCCTTGTTTCATTATCACATCCTCTTTGACTTTCCTTTTATACATTTTATTTCCTAATTTTATTATTATTATTTCCCCTTTATTTCTCACTTCAGTGTTATTCCTGTCTTTGATTGCTAATACATCTTTAAAAAGTCACCTTAAGTCAAGTCAAACTCAGTCCCTGGTGACTTAACAGAGACATAACTATATAGCTTTCCTGGCATTATGTAAACACAGTTTGCTGCTACTTTGTTCGAGTGGTTAGATGGAAATCAGGTAAGATGGGGGTGTGATATGTTATTTGTATTTTTCTGGTCTGGGAACTTATGGGAAGCTGAGCTATATATGATATTAGGCTAGCTTCTCAATACTAGCACCAGGGAGAAAAATTATCCTATATTTTTTATTCAAACTTCCATTTAATTTGATGGAAGAAAAACTGCTTTAGACATGATTTCACGTCGAAAAAGGATTTCACATTAGAGAAAGTCTTAAGGGTAGAATATGGTGTTCTTGACCTTTTAAAGCAGACATGTCAAACTCGCGACGTCACATGACGTCGCGCGACGTATCGGAGCTTTTTCCCCATTGCTGGCAATGGGGTGGGTGCAGTTTCCTGGTGATGTGTCCAGCCCATGGGCTGGCAGTTTGACACCCCTGTTTTAAAGTTATGATCTGGCCAAGGAGTGTCTTACTGTATAGCTCTCTCTTTCCTGATCTGCAGTCTCCTTGGCTTCCCAGCCTTAATAAAATCCTAAAGGAAAACATCAGGAAGAGTCTCTCTCCCATGGAAATATTGTCCACCCAATTTCTATATTGGGGCAGTGTGGTAGGTCAGTGGTTAAGATGCTGGGCTTGTCGGCTGGACAAGAGGTTTGATCTGAGTGCCATGCAACAGAGTGAGCTCCCATCCACGCCCCAGATCCTGCCAACCTAGCAGTTCAAAAGCAAGCAAATGTGAGTAGATAAATAGGTACTACTTTAGTGGGAAGGTAACAGCATTCCGTGATATCATGTTGGCTACATGACCATGGAAATGTCTTTGGACAGCACTGTCTCAATGGCCTTGAAACGGAGATGAGCATTGCCCCTAGAATCAGAAATTAATAGCAGTGCAAAATCTGCACAGACTCCTTTGCCTCCCAATTTCTATATTCTAAACGTCCATTTAGTTGAAAGTTTTCATCTATGCCAGTGGTGGTGATCCTATGGCACACGTGAGGCACTCAGAGCCCTCTCTGTTGGCACATGCGCCATCGCCACCAGCAGCAGGTCCATCAGGCCACCACTGCTGGCCGGAGCAGGAGCACTGCCCAGCACAAAGGAGGCGAAGCAGCCGACTAGCAAGCTGGAGTAGAGGTGGTAGAGTAGAGGTCACCAACCATTGTCGATTGGTGGACTGGAAGAAAAGGGAGGGGGAAGCATTTTACATGCGTGCATGCGCACATGGGGCTGGGAACATGCATGCGCTGCAAATGGGGTGGGGCTAGTGCCTGCGTGATACTCACTAGCCCTGCCCCATTCTTGCGTGGTGCAGTGCCTTGTATCTGTACCCTGCGGTGCGGCAGTGACCGTTTTTGCACCTTGCAGCACAGTGGCCCATTTTTGTGCCCCCAGTTTTTGTGTGCCAGAGGCAGCACTCAGAGGCGCTTCCCTGTCCCCCCGAGGGCACTACAATGCTGATGTGGCCCTGGCACTTTGCGATAAGTGGGTTTTGGGTTGCAGTTTGGGTGCTCGGTCTCTAAAAGGTTCGCCATCACTGATCTATGCCAATGTTTGCCCAGTGTTACTAATTACAGTCAAATGAGTCTATGCATCAGCTGTCAAACCACAAACATTCTGCAGAGTTGCCCTAAGCTACATTTTATATTGAAATATTTCACAAGAGTAATACATATTTAATACATGGGATACAGTTTGGCGTAGTGGTTACAGTATGGGGGTTAGAAACCAGGAGACCATGAGTTCTAATCCTGCCTTGGGCACAAAACCAGCTGGGCGACCTTGAGCCAGTCACTTTCAGGCCCAGGGAGGAGACAATGGCAACTTCTGAGAACCTTGCCAAGAAAACTGCAGGAACTTGTTTAGGCAGTCTCCAAGAATTGGACACAATTGAATGGAAGAAAAAAAAAAGCACAATTAATTCCAGTGCTACTCTTCTTCTTCTTCTTGTGCTATATCTGTTATCGGATGTTGGCGATCATGTTGGCGATCCTGTTTTTATCAGCAGCTGCACGAAAAAGTGCTGCTGAGTTTTGTCCAAACCAGTCCCTTAGATTTTGAAGCCACGATGTTCTTCTTCTGCCTGGACCTCGTTTGCTATAGTGCTACTATAATTGTAATACAATGTCATATATTGTCACATGTACCACATGCACACACACACACAGAGAAAAGCCAGGCTCCCTGAAGAAAATAAATCAAGCAAAACAAAACACAAATGTCTTAATGAAAATATATACGGTTTAAAAGTTTCCCCTGTCCAGTCGTGACTAACTCAAGGGGGGCAAGGCTCATCTCCAATTCTCAGCCAAGGCAGCTTGCACTGTCTGAGAGGTGCTTCTGTCATGTGGCCAGCATAGAAATACAGAATGCAGTAACCTTGAAGAGGTACCCATTTATCTACTCACATTTGCGAGCTTTCAAACTGCTAGGTTGACAGGAGCTGCTCAGGTCTTTAATCCGGGCTGTTGGCTTGGGTGGTGTGTCCAGCTGAGCCGTCCACACCACCCAAAATGAGAATACGTCATTTCATTTTTAGTTGCAATAGTAAGAATATAAAACATTTAAAATTCACAAAAAGCACTATGCAGAATTGGGTCCACAACTTCTTCTTCTTTTTTTTCCAAATACTTACCATGGATGCTGTCATTCTGGAGCATTTGCAACTCTTTTTGCCTTGCTTCCAGATCATAGCTAATAATATAAAGAGTCCTAAGAGAAACCATAGTCTGATGATTTTTCCACAAGTGCAGGCTAGGGGGTTCCGTCCATTCTTAGATTTCATTGTAGTTTTTATTCCCTTTAAATGCAAACAATAAGCCTGAATGATCTTCTACAGCAGTAAAGCTAAAATTACATTTTAATTGATATTTTTATATTTCAATACAAATGTTAATGGCTGTTATTGAAGAAGTTCTGAAAGCAACACAATTTTTAAAAATCCTTAGGGAGATGTTTATTTATACTCTCAAGAGCTGATCATGCATATCTGCTTTTCTAAAACTAGATAAGTGAGATGATGGCTACTTCCCCCAATTCCCCACCTTAATGCTGCCAAAAGAAGATGATTGGTTTTATAGTATAATATTTATTTACATACCATTCAAAAAAAGACAAAAAGCTAAGGAGGAAATAAAAAGACCAGAGCGCATTCTCTCCAGCAACCAAAACCCAGATAAGCAAGGATTAACACCAGGCAAACAAGCAGAAAACAATATCCTAATCAAGACCTGCCAAGGAGAAAATCACAGCCCCACCCACACTGGAAGGGCAAGCTGCTGTATATAAACAGGAAGAAAACCCCACTTACTCAAACTGATGATGTTACCTAGTGTGGCAATGCAACATTTGCAAGCAAACAGACAAGTTCAGAGAGCACCAAGGACTCCATAGTATAATCTATTCTATTAGGAGTGTGTTAGCTGAGAGAAAGCTTGTAAAAATCCACTTGTTTAGTAAGTTGTCCTCTAACATAGCAACTTCAAGATTACAAAACATACAACAATGCAATTATTCTTTAAAACAAAGAAAACGTAAAAACACAGCTTCGGCTAAGTATTTTTTAATGAATACAAATTGCTTCTTACAGATTTTTCTCCCAGATCTCAACTCTGGACAGTTGTTTTAGATAATAATTTTAGATTCCTTTTTGGGGTGCTGTGTTAATGTGTTTTAAGCTCCCAAATTATGAGGCAGTCTCCTAGGGGAGACTTTCTAAATGAGGGCACTTATTCTAAGTAGACAGGAACCAACCTTTTGGTTGAGAATAGAGAACTGGGCTTCTCTTGAAGCCTTGAATAAGCTCAGCTACATGTTGCTAATTTTTTTGATTTGGCAGCCCAAACCATTTACTGTTTAAAGGCTGAAGCTAGCAGTGTGATTAGGCTGAAATCGAAAAGGATGCCAATCTAAACAGCTACAGAATATGTAGTCTTATGACAGACAATGGCAAAACATGTCTGAAAAACCTTATCAAGAAACCTCAGGAACTTGTCCAAGTAATCTCAGAGAATCAGGCACAATTGAACAGAAGAAAAAAAAAACACTAGACATCGAACTATGTTTAAATTAGGTCACTGGCTGTAATAAAGGTGAATATTATTTTTATTGGAGGACTTCCTAATAGTGAGGACAATTAACCAGTGGAACAGCTTGCCTTCAGACCTTGTAGGTGCTTCATCACTGGAAGTTTTTAAGAAAAGACTGGACAGTCACCTCTCTGAAATGGTATAGGGTCTTCTGCTTGAGCAGGGGGTTAGACTAAAAGACCTCCAAGGTCCCTTCCAGCTCTATTCTGATTGATTGGTGGCTTGCCATGGAGCCCAGAGATCTCTATTTATTATATTGCATACCAGTTCTGGCCCGAGGGTTTTCTTAGATTAAATAATGGAATGACTGGGTCAGTCAACCACATATTTGTTGATACCTTAACCTACACCACTGGACAATTTGTCAGAGCTGTTTCAGGTAGATATTGACAAGTATGGGGATAAGAGGGAATCTTGAAACCAAGAATTAAAATCTGTAGGCATCTCTTTCTAGTTTATGATGGTTCTCAACCTTGTAACTTTAAGAATTCTGGGAGTTGATGGTAGATGATAAACATATAGACATATATAGATGAGAAAGATGATAGATCAACAGACAGTCGATAGATGCATGATAAGCAGACAGAGATGAGAAAGAGAGATGATAGATGCAACACAAAAGTTAAAGATTGTTCCTTTTGCTGGCATAGAGAATTGGAGACTACAAAGATCAGATCTGCTGTACAGTCTACTATCCTTTTGGGGGTGGGCTGCAATTCTCATCATAGCCAGCTAATAATTTTTTAAGCACTGTCTTTTTTCCTTATCCCCCTCCCCCCAACTCAAGAAAACTCTTACTTCACAAATGGCTCACATCACCAAATAATTACCAATGATTATTCTATATGCAGATTTTGAATCAGCAACAATTTTCATCAGAGATTAACAGTCACTGCACTCCAGAAGCCACCAACTGCCATAGAATTTATCTGCCAATCAACAGGACAAGAATCTTTCCTTGGGTTCTTCTTTTGCTGCTGCTTTTACACAGTTGCTAGATCCTAATCCTAATCACATCTGAACTGTTGTAAAGTCAAAGGATCTGAAGCAAAGTAGTCTTCCCCTCACTCCCCTGCTTCTCTGCCTAAGTTTATTGCAAATGAAGATTAGGCCCACATGTTTTTTGTAGAGTGAGGGTAGGCCTCAATAGTAAAATCACATACATGTATGCCTACAATTTTGATTGGCTTTTGCAGATCACAGCAAACAATTGTTTAAGTTACAGTTTGCTGAGTTCATGCTTACTGAGTCAAAATTACTCAATCCCTATTGTCACTAAGTAGATTCACATTATGCCTCAGCTACAGACCTTAATGTATTGAGACCAAGTAGAGAACAACTTTTAAGTCCTAAAGGAGCATTTGGGGACAGCCATGACCTAGTCCTAGATGACTGAGAATCTCTATACAACTTTTAAGATTCTTGTCAAAATAATAACATTTGGACCTATGGGATCATTTAAATGTTGGTTTTTTTTGAGGGGGTGTTAGACTACCCACACTGTCTTGCAGGGAAAGGAACTATAGGAAGGATATTGTGTTAATAATCCCAGTTATAATGTTGGGATGCTTGAATTGCTTATAGCTGGCTCTTTGATGCCAAAGTACACAAGCCAGCCTTGTGTCAACTTAGAAAAAAAGAACAGGGCAAGCCATTTGAAATGGGAGAAAGACAGAATGATGTAGTTATTAAGCTGGTGGAGTAGGAGTGGGGAAATCCTATTTCTAGTTCCGCTTTAGATGCAGACAGTATCTGGGTAATTTTGGTCAAGTTGCTCCCTCTCAGTCTAAATTAGCTTCTTTGACAAGCTGGCTGAAAAATTAAACTCCTCCTTGCATCACATATTAATAGCTTCACCATAAGAATTGCAGCGAGGGCTGTGTAAAACAAGCAGACCCTGAAATCCAGCAGAACACAGGGCTAGCAATAACAGTCGTTTGGCATAACTGCTTCACAGAACCTGGCATGAGCAAAGCCCAATCTCCTTGAAGAGTTAAAGCAGCCGCATCTTCTGGAAACTCAGTGTGTTACCCATAAAACTCAGACACCCGAGTGGGTGTGCAACTGGAAAGAACCTGGTCCCTAAATTTAAGAGACACCCAATAGTTTTGCAAAGTGGGTTTTTCTCATCACCACCACATGCCAACAATAAGAACCAAAAATATTTTAGGGAAAGTAAAAAAAAAAAAAGCCTTTATTAAGGGAGTGATCAAGTTTTTATATAGTGTTATATAGTGTTATATACCTTTATATAGTGTTATATACCTCCGAGACCGCCTTCTGCCACAGATTCCCTCCCATAGACCGGTACGCTCCCACAGAGCGGGCCTCCTCAGGGTGCCGTCGGCCAAGCAGTGTAGGCTGGCGACCCCCAGGGGGAGGGCCTTCTCTGTGGGTGCCCCCACCCTCTGGAACGAACTACCCCCCGAGATCCGGATGATTCCGGATCTCCTTACTTTCNAAAAAAAAAAAAAAAAAAGCCTTTATTAAGGGAGTGATCAAGTTTTTATATAGTGTTATATACATTTGATAGATGTCAGAAAAGATAATCACCCTTAAAATATGTTGCATCTCCTCCTTTCTCACCCAGGTTTGACTCTTTCTTAACACTTGCAACTTTACATTACTATAACACAGCTAGGTTGATTAATTTCTTAGGCACTACATGGAAAAGTACAGGTAGTCTTCATTTAGTGATCATAACTGGAATTGACAACTTGGTCATAAGTGAAATGATTGCTAAGTGAAACTGTGACTGTGCTTATGATCTTACTTCAGCTTTCCTTTGCTTTTCAGATCTGCAAAGGACGTGAATGCAAGGATTGGTCACAAAGTTACTTTTTCACACCATCACAACTGCAAACAGTTGTTAAACAAGGCAGTCACTAAAAGAGGACAAGCTACAGTGAAGCATTATGGAACCATGCAGATTTTCTACATACAATAACAGAATAACAGAGTTGGAAGTCTTCTAGTCTAACCCCTTGGCTCAATCAGGAGACCCTATACATGGGTGTCAAACTCACCGCGTCATGTGACGTCGCGATGTATCACAACTTGTTTCACATTGCCAGAGCAATGATGCAACCGGTCCGCAGGCTGGCCGTTTGACACCCCTGCCCTATACCATTTCAGACAAGTAGCTATCCAGTCTCTTCTTCAAAGCCTTGAGTGATGAAGCATCCACAACTCCTGAAAGTAAGCCGTTCCACTGGTTAATTGTTCTCACTATTAGGGAATCTCTCCTTAATTCTAGGTTGCTTCTCTCCTTGATTAGTTTCCATCCATTGTTTCTTGTCTTGCCTTCTGGTGCTTTGGAAAATAGGTTTAAATGGTAATTTAAAAACTGAGTCTTTTGTGTCAAAAGCTTTCTGTCTTCTGGAAGCGCCATTCCTCTACCCCACAGGGCCACCATAAGGCCTGCTTCCCTGAAACATTTTAATTTTATTGTTGATTGAAGTAGGTTTATGACTTTTAACGTCAAAAGTAATTTGTGTGAAGAAGTCTTCAGACTAATCTTTTAAATGCCACATCACAAAAAACACTTTTCCACTTATAGTTCCTTTTTTTTTAAAGTAGAAATAACTGGACTTTTATTTAGTTAAAACCTGCTCCTCGGGTTCCAACTGAAGACCCTCCAAATGGTGGTCAGCCAATGTCGTTAATAAGCCAAACTTCAGTGTTGAATGCACAGGTT